GGATCCTGGGCAAGCTGGGTAGGAGCCCCCTGGCAGCAATAGATGGAGACCCCTTCCCCTCAGCGTGCCCCCAGCCCCGTCCCCTGATCAGTGAGTTACAGGCAGGGGAACCAGGGTATAGTGCCCCGCAGCCGGACTCGCTCAGGAACCTCCATACCAGGGAGCAGGCGTGATTACAAATCCCCTCTGTTTTGCTCTGGTCTCAGCCCCTGGGTCCCAGTGTGTTAGGACAGCGGCAGGGCGGCTTTCCCTTTCCTGCTCGCTTCGGAGCCACCTCAGGGAGTGGGCTCAGCTGTTCCCCCCCCCCCCCACCGGGGCTTTTGCTGCCGTTGTTTGGCTTGGGGTCTCCTGCTTCCACTAGACTCTGGGGGGAAAATCAGGTCCATGTCCAACCCGACTCTCAGCCTGAGTGTTTCTCTATGCAAGAGTTGTCCTCTGCTCACCTTGGGGGTGGCTGCTGGCATCAGTGGATGGTGGCGGAGGTGCTGGGGTCTGCACGACTGGCATAATTCACAGAATCCAAGCCTTAATGTGTGCATTTTTCAATTGCACTCGATTTCTATGGATCGATGTGAGAGAGGACAAGTAAAACTGTGCCCTGGCAGTGCCGCCTCCCTTGCAGTAAAATACCTTCAGTGTAGCTTCCCTTACTTATTAGTGAGAGGTGAAATGATTGGAATCATAGAACAGCACTAGTTTAAGCTTCCTGTGCAAGGAGGAGGCTATGTGCTGTTATGCAATAAGCTTGATGGAAAAGCAGAGATACAGAATTTGCCATCAACACTGTTCTCTTTTTGTAAAACAGTATGACTAAATATCAGGCTGGGAGGAGTAGATTTGAGGGTTTTCCTCTGCCTTTTTATGTTTTCCAGCCCCACATTTCTGGTGACAGCTCCCTGTAACATCAGGCCTGGTGCAAATGTAACTGTTGGGGTTGTTCTGCTGCAAGACAGCCCACTACAAGTCACAGTCAGAGGGGAAGTGCTCAGAGGAAATGATTCCCTGCTGAGTGGGGAGCTTGTCTTTGAAAAAGGTAAGTTGGCAGCATGAGCCAAAAGAGATTTCAGTGCACATTATTACCCTCCTCCCAACTGCCTCACTCTTGAAATATACCTGTATTTTTAGCTGGTGGACTGGTCTTGTTTTACCACATTTGGTCAATGCAAGGAGAAAAACACTAGTACATAAGGTGGAACTGTTTGCTGAATATTTAGTGGTTTGTACATAGGTGTCATAACTCATTCTGGGCACATTGGGAGTAACAATAACAAATATTCATGATAGTGTGATGTGATGGTATCCATTGAGTTCCTGAAAGTACTCTGGATCCCAGGGCTTAGGCCAGATCATAAGACTATCTCAGAAACTCTGCCCTCTCTGAGGTTCATTGAAAGATTCAGGGTCAAGACAAAATGTATTGGGGGGGG